AACTCAGTGCCTTTCTTGGGCCCCAGGAGCACCTCTTCTGGTCCTGGCCCCGCCCTCACCTCTCTCTGCTTCCCTGGGCCTGCACCACCGACTAACTCTCCTAGCCTGCACTACTATCTTTAGGCCTCTTGGGGTAAGTCTATAACGTAGCCCTCCGCCCCGGGACTCCCTAAGCCTCATTCAACCTCCCCCCCCCCCCCCCCCCCCCCCCTGCTTCTGCTTCACTGCCCCCCCCCCCCCCGTCTAGGCAGGGGGCTCAGGATTGTGGGGGTGCTTCTGTACAGATTCCAGGCACTGATGGTCAAGTACAAGTGCTGAAGGCCCAGGGCTTGACCAGTGCCCCTCTAAGCTGCCCTCTGCCAGGCAGAAAGAGGCCCAATCTAGACTGGGGGTGGAGGTCTATGCTGCCCACAGCAGAGGGCCCAGGCTGGAAATAGGGAGGAGGAGAGATGCCTCGCAAAACCCCAAGCTGAGGGAGGAAGCCAGTCCTGGTCCTCAGTGTCCCTGGGCCTTGAAGTCACTTAGTGACAGAGAAGTGGCCCTAGACTTGATGTTCACACAGCTCCAGAGTTAAGCTCATGGCAATCTAACAGAGTGGGGATCCTGTGTGACCAATCCACCTAACCTAACCTGCTTCCAGGAAGCACTGTCCTGCCCTCCCCTGTCTTTGAGGCCATGCTAGGCAGCAGGTGAGCCTGGAGTGCAAGGCCTCAAAGGTCCCCAGACCAGTTCTGCCCATTCCTTACTGCCACACATCCCAGCCTAGAAGAGGGCCCAAGTTCTCTCAAGAGTCCCTACTTCTCAGCCCAGGGTCTTTCTTGGGTTTCTGAAACCCCAGGAAGGTCACTCACCCCAGGTGGTGGTGATTGGACTCTTCCCTGTCCTTGCCAAGGAGAACTGAAGGGTTCTTTCTCTCCAGCCATTTCTGTGTCAGCCACTAGGTGGCGGCAGCGCCTCACTTAACTCAGTCTGAGAGTGACTTGGAAAGTGATATTTTCTCGTTTTTTGAGACAGGGCTCCCTATAGCCCCAGCTGGCCTGGAACTCAACTATATAGACCAGGCTGGCCTTGAACTTCCGAGATACACCTACTTCTACCTCTCGAGTGCTGGGATCAAAGGCGTGCACCACCACACCCTGGTGGAAAGTGCTTTTTTGCTATTAATTTTCTAACACCATATATGCGTTCAAGAAGCAATACACACTTGGAGACAGAGGTGGGAGTATGGCCACATGTTCAAGGCTAGCTTGGCCTATACAGCAAGTTTCATGTTAGCCTGGGCTACACAATTAAGAGTCTGCCATAAAAAAACAAAACCAAAAAACCCAGTATGCTCTCACGTGGTATTATACAAGGAGAGCTGAGTATTTCAGTTCATTAATGAGTATTTGAGGGAGGGGGCTGGGCTAGCTCAGTGGTAGAATACTTGTCTAGGATATGCTTGGGTTCCATCCCAACACGAAACAAAAACAGAAAACTTAGAATAGGTATAAAAACTGGGATAGTCATTATCTAAAAATCCAAACAATAGCATTTCACATACAAAACAGGCTTGGGTAAATTGAAGGTGTTTTTCTCACCTTGGAAGTGTCCAGTGGGACATTCTAAAAGTTGTAAGTGGACCAGTCAGATGGTTTGCAGATAAAGGTGCTTGCCACCAAGCCTGATGATCTGAGTTTGATCCCCAGGAACTACTTGATGGAAGGGAAGAATCCACTTCTGAAAGTTGTATCTGAGCTCTACATGCTGCACCCTGTGGCAAGATGTGTGTGCACATACACAAATAAATTAAAAAATTAAAGTGTGTGACAATTTTTTATGTGTTTGTATATGAACATGTATGTGCACGTGTGGAGACCAGAAGTTGAAGTCATATCTTTAACATCTCTCCACATTATTATTATTACTATTACTATTTGAGAATTTCATGCATGCATATGTTTTGATGAAATGCATCCCCATTCCCTCCCCTTCAATTCCTTCCCTATCCCCCCATCTCCCAAGTTCATGTGCTCTCTTTTTTTCAGTCTTTTTAGGACAGGGTCTCCCTGTAGCCCCAGCTGGCCTGGAACTCATTATGTAGACCAGGCTGGCCTCGAACTTACAAAGATCCGCCTGCCTCTGCCTCCCAAGTGCTGGGGTTGAAGGTGTGTGCCACTACCCCTGGCTATGTGCTTTCTTTTTAAAAAATATTTTATTATAGCCAGGCGTGGTGGCTCACGCCTTTAATCCCAGCACTCAGAAGGCAGAGGGAGGCGGATCTCTGTGAGTTCGAGGCCAGCCTGGTCTCCATAGTGAATCCAGGCCAGCTAGGGCTACAGGGAGACCCTGTCTCAGACAAAAAAAAAAATTATTTTTATTTTATGTGTTATGAGTGTATTGCCTGCTTGTGTGTAACTGTACTCATGTCATGCAATGTCCACAAAAGTCAGAAGAGCACATTGGATCCCCTGGAACTGGAGTTACAGATAGTTGTTAGCTGCCATGTGGGTGCTGGGAATTGAATCCAGGTCAACTGAAGGAACAGTCAGTGCTTTTAACCACTGAGCCATCTGTCAGTCCCCATGTGCTCTTCTTTAAAATTCTTTTTTAATAAACTTTGTTATTTATGCCAGGTGTGGTGGCACAGGCCTGTAGTCTCAGCACTTGGGAGGCAGAGGCAGATGGATCACTGTGAGTTCAAGGCCAGCCTGGTCTACATAATGAGTTCTAGGTGAGCTGGGGCTACAGGGAGACCCTGTTTCAAAAAGACCAAAAACAACTTAAAAATTGTTATTTATTTTTAATATTTTATTTCTTTTTATGTGTATGAGTATATTGCCTTCATGTACGTAAGTGCACCCTTGTCATGCAATGCCCAAGGAAGTTAGAGAGGGTGTTGGATTTCTTGGAACTGGAGTTTTGGGCAGTTGTTAACCACCATGTAGGTGCTGGGACTTGAACTCAGGTCCTCTGCAAGAACAGCCAGTGCTATTAACCACTGAACCATCTCCCTAGGCCCTTATTTTTATTTTTGAGAGAGGGTCTCCCTGTAGCCCCAGCTGGCCTGGAACTCACTATGTAGACCAAACGGGCCTTCAACTCACAGACCTCCACCTGACCCTGCCTTCCCAGCGCTGGGATTAAAGGTGTGCGCCACCACACATGGCATGTGTTCTTTTATAAATCTACTAAGACTGTTTGGTACTGCCAGTATGTGCATGCTGTAGGACCATCTACTGGAGCGTGGGCAGCCTCTCAGGCTCCATCCTTGAAGAAAGACTCTCTGGCAGCAGCCATCATTTGCCAAAGGCTCCTCAGCTAGGGTAGGACTTCATGACTCTCTCCCCCATCCATGCTGGGATTTTGTCTGGCTTGGTCTGTGTCCACCTTCTTTTTTGAGACAGGGTCACTCGCTGATCCTGGAACTCACCAATATGGTCAGACTGGCTGGCCAGCAAGCCCTAGGGGTCCTCCTGTGTCTGCCTCCCAGTGCTAAGATTACAGGCATGTACCAGTGGGCCCAGCTTTTTAGGTGGATGCTGAGGATTGGAATTTCAGTCCTTGTGGCGCACTTCAAGCACTTTACCATAGATGGAGACATCTCCCCAGGCCCTTCATTTTTTAATTTCAGGAGGCTATCTTGAGGTTCATAGTCTCTTCTCACTGTCAGCAGGGTCTCATCACTGTGACAACCTGGCAGAAGACCCCTACATTAATGAAGACCCTCTTGAGGGAGTGACCTCCCTGAGGTGAACTGCTGGGTTTAAGGCTGTCTTTACTGGCCACAGGGCTGGGATTATAGGCACAATCAACCATGCTTGGCTTATTTGGTGCTGGGATCCAACCTTGGCTTCCCTGCATGCATGACAAGCACTCTCCAACTGAGCTACCTCTGCAGCCTTATGTGTATGAGTGTTTCGCCTGCATGTATGTAAGTGCACCACATGAGTGCCTGATGCCGAGGAGGTCAGAAGAGGGCCTTGGATCCCCTGGAACTGGAGTTACAGATGACTGTTAGCTGCCATGTGAGTGCTGGGAACTGAACCTGGGTTCTCTGCATGAGCAGCCAGTGCTCTTAATCCCTGATCTATCTCTCCAGCCCCAGCCTTTACTCTTTAGAAGCTAGTAAAGCCCCCTCCTTGCTGTGACAATGTCCCCCTGGGAGCACAGAAACACCCTTAGTTGAGATGCACTGCTATAGGGTCAAGTGCTCTATGCTATACTAAGGCTCATCCTCCACAAGACCCAGAGGATGGTGATGAACAGAGGGCAGAAGCGTTTACCTGGGCTCCCAGGCTCAGGAATCTTCCTGAATGAGTTCCTATTCCCCAACTCCCAACTCTGAGGGCAGGAGCTAGGTGGGGGGAAGAGGAAATTGGCAGATTGGAATGAACATAGTAGGGGACTAGAGAGATGACTCAGCAGTTAAGAACACTTAACTGCTTTTACAGAGTTCAGTTCCCAGCACCCATATGGTGGCTAACAGACAGTTCCAGGGGATCTGACACCCTCTTCTGGCCTCTATGGGCATGGTGCCATGTGCATATGCATGCAGAACACTCATACACATAAAAATAAGTAATTTTTATTTTATTTTATTTATTTTATTTTATTTTTTGGTCTTTTTGAAACAGGGTCTCCCTGTAGCCCCAACTGTCCTGGAACTCACTATGTAGACCATGCTGGCCTTGAACTCTCAGAGATCCGCTTGCCTCCGCCTCCCGAGTGCTGGGATGAAAGGCTGCGCCACCATGCCCGGCTAAAAATAAGTAATTTTTAAAAAATTGTCAGTACCTGTCTGTTTTCCCCATTTCTGGCTCTGAGGGCAATACAGTGGAAGAGCTGAAACTAGGCTGGACGGGAGGAGTAGGCGCAGGGTTCAACTCTGAGGGGAGTTTAGAGTAGGAAGATAGATGTTAGATGGGACTAGGGGGGCACAGCACAGGGTGTGGGGATCTCTAAGCAAACAGTGATGAAGCTGACCTGACCTGGAAGCCTGGGCAGGGGTGGAGAGCAGCAGGCACAAGAGATGCCGCTTAGGTGGTACAATGAGAGGCTTAGGTGACTGCTGAACTGTGGAAGGTGAGCTGAAGATGGGTTGGAGAGCAGCTGGTGGAGGTGGCTCCAGGGGATGGAGGAGGCAGTAAGGTAATGGAGCAATGAAAGAAACTAGAAGTGAGCCGTGCGTGGTGGCGCACACCTGTAGTCCCAGCACTCGGGAGGCAGAGGCAGGCGGGTCTCTGTGAGTTCAAGGCCAGCCTGGTCTATATAGTGAGTTCAGTACAGCTGGGGCTACAGGGAGACCCTGCTTCAAAAAGAAAAAACAAAGAAATTAGAAGTGCTTCTCAGGTGTTGGTTACCCCACCCCCACCCCAGGCTCACTCAACTCCAGACACATACATCTTCTCGCTGGCCTTGACAAGTCCACCTCCACGCCTTTGTCATTCTGGCCGCCTGAATGCTTTTCCTGGAGACAACTTCATGGCCGGTTTGGTAAGTGTCTTCAGGGACTTCACCCTCCCCTTATTCCAATCCTGATACATAACCTGAATCCATTTAATGTTGTCTTTCTCACCAGAATGTAAAGCTCTGTGAGCACAGTGTGTTCAACATGCAGCCCACACCATTGGGATCTGTACTGACTGGGCCTTGCAGCTGTGGCTGGCTTGAATCGGGAAGTGCTCTACAAGTGAAGCACGGACCAGCTTTGGAAGGCTTTGTATATATGAAAAAAATTCCTTAATCTTTAAAAAAAAATTTTTTTTTTTTTGGTCTTTTTGAGGCAGGGTCTCCTTGTAGCCCCAGCTGTCCTGGAACTCGCTATGTAGACCAGGCTGGCCTTGAACTCACGGAGATCCACCTGCCTCTGCCTCCCAAGTGCTGAGATTAAAGGCGTGCACCACCACGCCTGGCTAAAAAGTATTTTAAAAATATTTTATTATTTTTATTTTGTGTGTATGAGTCTATTGCCTGCATGTGTGTGAGTGCACCTGTGTCGTGCAATGCCCCAGAGGTCAGAAGAGGGCATCGGATTCCCCTGGAACTGTAGTTATGGATGGTTTGTAGCCACCATGTGGGTGCTGGGAATCAAATTTGGGTCCTCTGCAAGAGCAGTCAGTGCTCTTAACTGCTGAGCCATCTCTCAAGCCCCTCTTTTTAAAATATTTTATTTATTATTTTTATTTTATGAGTGTATTGCCTGCATGTTTGTAAGTGCACCCGTGTTGTGCAATGCCACAGAGGTCAGAAGAGTGTGTCAGATTCCCTGGACACTGTCCATAACTCCAGTTCCAGGGAATCTGCTGGGAATTGAACCTGGGTCCTTTGCAAGAGCAGCCAGTCCTCTTAGCCACTGAGCCATCATCTCCAGCCCCCTTAATTCTCTTGAATATGAGGCCCAGCACACCTTTAATCCCAGCACTCTGGAGGCAGAGGCAGGTACCCCTGTGAGTTCAAGGCCAGAGGAAGTTTCAAGCCAGCTAGGGGTACATAGTGAGACTCTGTCTCAAAAACAAGCAAACAAACACCACCCCCAAACCCCCAAAATACCAAACTTCTGAATATAGACAATGAATTGAAATGGTATCATTTTTTGGATATCGAGGGCCAAAGAAAATATTAGACTTCACATCAATCTCACCTGTTTCCATTTGCTTTTTTTTTAATGTGGCTAATGGAAAATTACATTTGTGTCTCACATGCAGCTAACTGTATTGGATGATGCTGACCTTGAGCCAGTATTTGTTGAGTGACTATATTTGGAAAACAGCTGGATATCCACATCTGTGCTTGCATGGAGGGGGTTCAGGCTGTAGACACAGAGTCACCCACCATCAGGAGAATCAGGCATGTCCACTGTGAGTGTGGGCACAAGCTCCAGCATAGTGATAGGCACCCCCAAATACTTCATCTTCTCTCCCAACATCTGTACTATGTGTCATGCCCAGGAGACAGGGCAACCATCTAATTCTGACCCTGGTGAAACCCAGGATTTGAGATGCCTGACTACAGCTTGGGGCAGGAAAAGCCTCTCCTAGAGGCAGCTGTTTTCTTCAAGAGTGACCAAAGGCAGGCAGGCAGCAGTGAGGGGAGAGGGCTGCAGAGTGAGACCACACCTGACAGAACAGCATGTCTAAAACTGCAGAAGGCAGCATGGTGCTTGTTAGGGTCAGAAACCTTGGCCTGGTTTGGCAGGTGGCAAAATGGGGCTGGAGACCTAAGGGGTGGGGAGATGTGCAGGAAGCCTGGAGGAAGGGCTGTTTGTACCCTAAGGGCAGGGAAGCCCCCAAGGGCCAAGTAAGGGGCTGCTTAGAAAGTCCACAGAAGGAGGAAGAGTCCATGAAGACAGGAAAGACAGAGTGGGAGATGGGCAGTGTGGGGATGTGGTGCAGGGCATGGGCCACAGGGTCTGGTGGAGCTGGAGGTGCTGGGGGATGAGAGCCCCAGCTCTGTCAGGATTTGTTATTTGGTTCTAGGAAGTGTATCAAGAGTGGCCATGCTGGGTGATGAGGGAGGAAAGTGGGAGGGGAAAGGAGAGACAGGAAGGTGTGAAGTAGCCCTTTGAGAGTCTGGGCCAGAAGGGAAGGACCACACCTGTCCCAACAGCTTTCCCTGGAGATAAAGGGACTCAACTATGTTATTGAACTAGAGGAACAGTGTCAGGCTGGGAGGATGAATAAAGACGGATGATGAAAAAATAACACTAGTCTGTCCCACCTGCCAGCCTGTGGGGCCCAGCCACCCTTTCTGGCCATTGGGTGCAGAGATGGAGGGGCTCACAAACCTACAGGATGGGGACTGTACAGGGGAAGGTGTGCCTCCCCTCCTTTGCCCTTCCTGTGGTATCTTTCTCTGATGCCCTCACACGTGACTGGGTTAGGTCAGTAGAGAGGAGGCCAAGTGGCTATTAGTGTTGGACTCTGTGTATCGGTGATGGTAGATGTAACCAGAGCTCACATATAACCAGAACGCATATATAGGTGTGCATGCACATTGTACACACAGATGTACACATAGCATCTACCACACAGGATGTAGGAATATACGTGTCCATAATGCATGCACCCAGAACCCAGGAGGACACATGTGCACGAGAGTACACACAACTCACGCACGTGTCCGTGCAAACATGCACACACGTGTCATGAGCTCTTGTCACTTGGGAGGTGTGCACATGTGTGCACATGCATGTGTGCGCCCCGCGCACGGTGTTTACACGTAAGCATGCACAAAACCCACGGGCGTTTAAGATGCACGTGCACGGAGCTCAGTTTATCCAGGTGTGCACACAGAGCGCCCACAGATAGTGAACCCGTGAATGCTGCCGTCACAGTTGAATTTGTCCGCAGTACAGTAATCGGGTCACCTATGCCCTTGTCCTGCTTATTTTCTCTCAGGACCCCCAGCATCCTCCTCTTGCGCCTAGATCTCCAGTTCTTTCTATAGAGCCCCAGCATTAGGAAGTGCGATGCAGCCTGGCGATCCCCTGAGCATCTTCCGCTCAGGCGGGGTCCTGGGACAGTCCTTTGGGAAGCCACTTCTGGCTTCGGCCTCCGAGAACCGGAATGATGGGGTTGGCCTCGGACCTCCCCGTCCGCACGCGGCACGGCCGCTGCCGCCCTTGCCCTCGCCGTCGCGTACCAGCGACAGGTGCGCATAGGCGTGCCAGCCGAAGGGGTCGGGGTCGGGGTCGGGGTCCGGGTCCGGGTCTGAGCGCCCTGGGAGCGCGGTGGGCCGCGCCGTTTGGAACTGCTTGGGCATCTGGTCCTTCGCAGGGCTGTACCCGGACTCCGGGTCGCATTGGCCGCTCTTCCAAAGCGCGTAGCCCAGCTCGACCGAGCTGAACAGCGCCGAGAGCAGCCCGACCGCGAAGTAGAAGAGCAGTCGACGATGTGCCGGCAGGGCGAGACTGTGCATATGAAGTGCGGGGCCACGCGGAAGCCGTGGAGCAGCGTCTGGCCGCCCAGAAAGCCCAGCTCGGCCAGCAGGCGCAGCGCCACGCTCAGCACGTAGCATCCGCCCTAGTTCTGAGGCGGTCTGCGCTTGCCCTGCATCTGCGACCGCGCGCCGCTCTCCTCCTTGCCCGCCCGGTGCATGGAGAAGATGGCGAACAGCACCGGCGGCACCGACAGCAGCAGGATGTGGAAGAGCCAGAAGCGGTAGTGAGAGACTGGGAAGGCTCGGTCGTAGCAGGTCTGGCGACACCCCGCTGCAGCGTGTTACACACGAACTCCTCCAGTTCGTCCTTGAATACAGAGCCGCCCACCGTGGCCAGCACCAGGATTCGGAAGATCAGCAGGATCGCCAGCCAGAGGCTACCTACCAGCGATGACTGCTCCCGCACCTTGTCCAGCAGCGAGCTTAGGAACGACCAGTCCCCCATGATGCTGGGGACACGGGTTTGGGGGAGCAGTCAGAGGCCAGGACAGACGGCACCCCCCCACCTTTCCAGGTCCTCCACCTTCTCTAACCTCAGAGGGACTCAGGAGTCAGATTTTGTGGGAATGAATGAGTTAATGTAGGGGTGTTGAGGAGGGTCCCCCTCAGCCTGGAGTGCACCTACCCTGCTTGGCTAGACCCTTTGCGCTCCCAGATTCCAGGCTCTTTTTCAGGGCCAGTCCTTGTCTTGCACTTTGCTCCACGGTGATTTCCAGGAGCAAGAGCAGCATCTGTGCCCAGAACCCCTGGGAGCCAGGGGGAGGGGCAGACCGGGTGAGTCCTGTGTCTCCTCTCACCCTACTCACTATTTCCCTGTTCTTTATACCTCAGTGAACACCTTTCAGCTTTGGGGGCTGACATAAAGCCCCTTCTATCCTAACTTTGGGATCTTTCACCCTGATGCACCCCTCTCCTACTCCAGTCCAGGGGAATGCGGGCAGCCTCTCTGGCAGCCAGCCTCCAGCATCTCCTGTAAGCCTAGCTGACACACAGAATCCCCAGGTCCCCTCAGGCCCTGAATGCCCTTAAGATCTCCTGAGACCCCACTTACCCTGGGACTGCGGCCTTAGAGTCAAGAGCAGGACTTTGGGAGACAGCTGGGACCCGTTCCTCTTGGTCCCTCTTTCAGATTTGGCTGGGATTGATGACAGGCCAGGATGGCTGAGAGGGGCTAGGTCTCGCCGTTCTCTTAAAGGGACAGGTGACCCTGCTGTCTGGCTTCACCCTGGGGACATACTCAGGGCCACACCCCTTGCTGCATTCTGCCAGCCCTCTCTTTCCATCCCTCACCCCTTCCCTATGCCCATCCCATAGCCATGCCTCCATCAGGTGATGGATTGGCATTAACCAGAGCCACATTCTTTATTGAAAGAGTCAGAGGATCATAGAAACCCTCCCCTGATAGATTCACCAAGCTGAGGCCTAGGTCCACTATAGCCGACTACCTTCTTTGAAGATGGTATTCTGAGACACAGAGAGATTTGTTCTGGTGTGTAGGAGGCAGCAAGTGGTCATGGCTTTTTGCTTCAGCTCTGCCATTATTGGATGTTGGACGAGCCATTTACGCCTTTTGACCCATGGTCTCTTGTCCTGCTGCCTGAGCCAGTGGAACTCCATGTTTCTAATTTTGTTTTGAGACAAGGTCTCACTGTGTGGTCCATGCTGGCCTGGACCTTACTCTGTAGGCCATACTGACCTTGAACTATTGATCCTCCTGCTTCTGGAGGAAGTTCCTGGATTGTGGGTGTGTACCACCATGCCCATCTTAGCTCTCCATCTTAATGCTCAGGTCTTAAAACCCTAGTTAGTGTCTGGAAAACCCCAATGTGGACAGCTTGCAGGTATGGAAAGTGGCTGACTTTAGTGTTGGAACAAAGGCTCTGGCTTCCTTCTTTTCTGTAATTTCCAGATTTACTGTGAGGAGCCTGGTGCTTCATCAGGTCAAGAACAAGTAGACAGCGGAAAGGCTTCTTCTAGTAGGAGTTCATGAGTTGAGGGTCTTCTATTAATCTAGGTGAGGAAATGCTGTTCCATAGGAGAAGGAGTTACGAAGATCCATTGGGAGCTGAGTGGCCAGGGAGGAGATGGATGGCCCTCAGTTGAAGTGTTTTGTTTGTCCCTTCTGTCTGGCACACCCATTCACTCATTCAATCCTCTGCAACCCAGACAAGAGGGCATTCTTTATAGTTGAGGAAACTGAGGCTCAGAGGGCCACAGATTTGCAGTCAGTAAATGGTAGATCTTGGCTTCACATCCAGCCTGAATAGTTCAAGAATTCATGTTATTAACCCTGGGGGAAACTTTCTTCTCTCCAGCCGGGCTGGACTTCCTGGGGGGTATCCCGGGGCCCAATAGTCCCCAAGTTGTTGTCTCATTCTGTAGCTCCGGCTGGCCTGAAACTTACAGAGATCCTCCTGTCTCAGTAGTTCTGGGATTACTGATGTGAGCCACCACGTCTGACTCAATTTAACTATTGCTAGACATCTATGCTGTTCCCAGTTTTCCACCAGTGGATAACTTGAGTGACTAGCTTCAGTGAATAGCTTGAGATGGAGGTCTTAATGTTTCCCAGTCTGTCCTTGAACTTAAGTATCAGGGATTATAGTCACATCTACCACACCCCGCTCAACAAATGCTTTTGGACAAAATTGTTTTGTTCAGACTATTTTTGTTTTATGAGTGTTCTAACCTGTACGTATATAAGTACACCCCTGTTGTGTAATGCCCTTGGAGGTCAGAGGAGGGCGTTGGATGCCTGTCACTGATGAGCCGCCGTGTGGGTGCTGGGAACCAAACCGGCTGTCCTCTGCAAGAGCAGCAAGTGCTCTTAACTGCTGAGCCATCTCTCCAGCCCCTAGGTATTTCTATTGCTCTCCACCTTATTTCTCAGGAACCCAGAGCTCACTTACTGGCTTGCCTGGCCTGCAGAACCTGAGGGATCCTCCTGTCTCCACCTCTCCAGTGCTAGGATTACAGGTTCACACCACCATGTCCACTTTTTCATTTTTTAATTGAATTTTGTGTATTTCATACAGCAAATCATCTTTATACTCCCTTCCCCTTTGGCATACTCCCATAGGTTCCCCCCTCCCCCAGTTCATACATTCCGTTATTTGTGTTAAGACCTATTATGTAAAGTTACTGTCCCCAGATGTCCCTCAGTCCAAGTTCATCCACTGGGATCTAGTCAGCCTATCTAGAGTCTCTCCCTTTAAGAAGAGCAGCTCTTCCTCATCCATCAGTAATCAGGTGCCAATAATTCTTTGACTAAGATTGGGGCCTGATGCTCGTTTCCACAGTTCCGTGCTGGGTTTTTGTCTAAGTTTGCGTGAGTCGGGGCTGGAGAGATGGCTTAGCGGATAAGAACACTGACAGTGCTTGCAGAAGATCTGGGTTCAATTCCCAGCACCCACATGGCAGCTAACAACTGTAACTCCAGTTCCAGGGGACCCAATAGCCTCTTCTGTCTTTTGTGGGCACTGCACGACACGGGTGCACTTACCTACATGCAGGCATAACACTCATAACACATAAAATGTTTTTTAAAAAAAGTTTGTGTCAGACGTGGTGGCGCACACCTGTAGTCCCAGCACTTGGGAGTCAGAGGCAGGCGGATCTCTGTGAGTTTGAGGCCAGTCTGGTCTACATAGTGAGTTCCAGGACAGCTGGAGCTACAGGGAGACCCTGTCTCAAAAAGACCAAAAAATAAAATAAAATAAAAAAGTGAAAATTAAAAAATAAAAAAGGTTGGTAAGCTTATTAATTGATTTATTAATTAATGCAGGCATTTTATTTTTCTTAGATTTTATTTTTATTTTGTATGTATTTTTTGCTTGTATGTATACAAGTGCATTCCTGGTGCTGTTTCAGTCCAGAAGAGGGCATTTGATTCCAAGAAACTGGAGTTAAGATGGTTGTTAGACAACATGTGGGTGCTAAGAATCAAACCCGGGTCCTCTTGAAGAGCAGCCAGTGTTCTTGAGCCATTTCTCCAGCCCCCATTTATTTTAAATATTTTTATTATTTTAAATTATATGTGCACATATGTAGAATGGGGATGTGTGCAGGACAGCAGATGCCTGCAGAGGCCACATATGCCATTTTCCCTCAAAATGGATTATAGGTATGTTGTGAGCCACCAGATATAGGTGCTCTGCAAGAGCAGCACCTCCTCTTAACCATTGAGCCATTTCTTCAGCCCTTTGAATTTTGAGATAGGGTCTCATGTAACCTAGGCAGAACTTGCTATGTAGGTGAACAGTGACTGTGAGTTCATCTTCTATGGCTCTACCTCCCAAATGCTGGGATTACAGTATTGTACCACTATGTCCAGCTTCTTTTAAAATTTTTAATTGAATTTGGTGTATTTCATACATTAAATCATCTTTATACCCTCTTCCCCTTTGGCACCTCCCATAGCCCCCCACTGGAGTTCACACTTTCTATCATTTGAAAAGGCCTATTATGTAAAGTTAGTGTCCTGAGACGTCCCTCAGTGCAAGTTCATCCACTGGGGTTTAGTCAGTCTATCTAGAGTTTCTCTCTTCAAGAAGATCAGCTCTTCCTCACCCAGCAGTAATCAGCTTCCAATAATTCTTCAACTAAGATTGGGGCTTGCTGTTCATTTCACAATTCTGTGCTGGGTTTTGGCCTGCCTAAGTTTGCATGGGTCTTGTGCATGCTGACACCATTGCTGTAGGTTTGTATGAGAAGGGTCTCAGATGCCTGTAGGACTATTTCCGTATGGTCACGCACGTCCTCCCTGGCTCTTGCAATCTTTCCGCCCCGTCTTCTGCAATGGTCCCTGAACACTAGGTGGGTGGACCTCAGTATAGGAATCCTGTCCAAGGACCCACACTCTGCCGACTCTTATTCTCTGTGTTTTGGCCATTTGTGGTCTTTTGTGTTCCTGGCCCTCTGTTGCATGAGGGAGCTTCATTGATGATAATTGAAAGATGCGTTAGTGTTTTCTTTACCCCTTGTTCTATGTTCCCTGAGTCTTAGGTGCAGAGGTTGCATCCTAGATGTGCTACAAAGGCTTGGGCAATTCACAGAGAATTTGTGTGTGACCAGTGGTGGAACTCTGTAATAATCTCTTTCTGTTGAAAAAGAAGCTACCTTGATGTGTGGTGACTGGGATACTTGTCTGTAAATTTAAGGATCCATATTTTGCACATAGTAAGAAATTACATTTGTCTAGGGATATGAGAGCTTTGGGTTTTCTCTAAGATCTATGACCTCTCCAGCTATGTGTATTTGGCTATGTTTACAGACCCAGACATGAGTTTCCTCCTGTTGAGTGGGCTTTAAGTCCAATTAGGTAGCTGTTGATTACCCACCAGATAAAAGCGCAACGACTGCATCAGTGTTGTTTCCTGTGCTGGTCATTGATATGGTTTTTAGGCCTTGAAGCTGGGTTGGACCATTAATTGATGTTGCCCCTTA